AAAATTAGTAAAGACTTGTATTTAAAAAAAAACTTATTATTTTTGGTAATATAAATTTCAAGTGGCCTGTTCTAAATGCTTTCAGTGCCGCAGAACAAGTAAGTGACTGCGGTGGTCGGCAGCTGCGACAACGTTGACTCATCCAGCTGGGCCTTATGACATCACAAAAACCGGTTTAACGATAAGGAAGGGGACAAGTAGGTATCATGTCTTCGTAATTTTTGAGGATAATTGAAGAAAAATTACTGAACTTAATTTAAATGTAATCATAATGGATTGAAATATAAATAAAAGAAATGGAGACTTGCTTATTGCTGAATCATAAAAAATTATGTGCTTATTTAAAAGCAATTATTCTGCATACCAATGGTTTACCTCTTTTGTTGCAAGGTTTGACAATATAATAATATCCACATCCATTGTTAATATCCTGATTTTTACTTTTGATAATATTCAAATATTTTATTCTATAAGATTGATAAGGTACATAGTTTCTATAGGCATCACTAAATGGAGTCTGTTATGTTTGAAAATGTCAAATAGAATAAATACTTAATATATATATTTCAAAAATCTATTTTAATAAAAGCCAACTTGATTTTCTAAGTGCTTCTATTAATTTAATGTAAAAAAACATGAAAAAATATATAACAAATCACTTTTTGAAATCTGCTTTGTTGTAGTAAGTTTAAAAAAATATTTGTGGGTAGAAGATACTTATTATTGCATTCTAGTTAATTCTCTTTGTAAAACTTGTTAAACCTATTTATATGAGAACTAACTTAAATATTCTTAATAGTATGTGCGACCAAGAAATAACTTTCAAAATAGTTGTGAACAAAAATGAGATAGCTACATCATATCCTACGCAATCTGTAACATCCAAAAAAAAATTATAAAACTTTTCATATTAGCAAAAATTACAAAGTTATGTCAAAAATTAACAAATTTTTCAGTTTCTTGTCATAATTATACTCTTTTATTAGAAGAAAATTAATAAATATTAAGTCACTTTGTAGTTGAGGGTTTTATGGGAAACTGTTACAATAATTGTTAGGGTTTGAAAGTATTTCATCAAAAATAGATTTTTAAATACAATTAATCAGCAATAATTTGTCCCTATATAACTCACCAGCCAGTGGCTTTGCCCGCATTCAGTGTCCTCTGTGAGCTAGCTAATAATTTATTGATCATATATCACAATATTAGATATAATTCCCTGCATATTTCAATGTCATATAATTGCATTAATGACAAATAATTGTTCACCCTCTTTGCACAGGCCTTTTTTACTGAAATGTACTCTCCCTGTATTTTGGGATACAATTACAACTCATCACAACCCATATTATTTTGATCTCATAAATACCATATATAAAATATTTGATGTACTAAAAAACTTTAAAGTAATTATATATTCTTGCGCCTTTGTATTTTAAAGTATGCAAATATGAAACAATAACTGATTAATTTCAAAAAAACTGTTTCAATAATTTTATTTTACTGATACCTCCATCTAGTAGTAACTTTATAAGAAGTTTAGTTTTTATTCTATTTTTTTTTTATTTAATTTACATCCATAATTTTATGATAAGCTGTTCGTGATTTTCAGGCTAATTCAATATAGTTGTTACTTTGTGTAAATTGCAGAACAAAGCCTAGTCAAGATTTTCAAAAGTACCTTCATTGAATTGAAAAAAAATGTGTATTTGAAAATTACTTACCATAACGGCCGCTACATATATCAGGGTCTGATCCGTCTTCTTAAAGTCTTTGTAACTTATTGTCCACAAACACAAGTCTTACACTATGTACCTAAATTACATTTACTAAAATACTAGATTTATCAATTGGAATTAATCCACACCCAGACCTTGTAACAATCAAAACTAAGTAACAAACAAACTTTTCTTTACAATAATTGATAATTGTATTAAAAAACATGATTTTATAAACATATTGATACTAATTACCTAAAAAATATATATCTATACAAAACCTGTCTTGACAAAACCGTTTTAAATAATGTAAAATTAACAAACATTAATATGCATGACATAAAAGATAACGATAACACTTACGGCCGTTAGTAAATAAAAACAATAGAATAAACATTTATAATGGGAAAAAAATTAAAGATATTAGATTAGAATCAGAAAATTTGACACTAGATAATTTACCTATTTTGCGATAAAATCACATTTCACTTTCAAAAGTCAGGTAACTCACAACAGTGAATTTAAAAAGTCTTATCATAGGTGCATGTCTTTTTTATTTTAATATAATCCAAAATTGACAAGTCTATCATTGTACAATGCTGCGCCATATTTGCAGAGTTCAAATGTTACCATTCATAAAAAGTGTTACTATCGGTAGTTTTTTAAATAAATGTGAAATTAAATTAAGTTCAATTTGGATTTGGTTTATCAAAAACCAAAAATGGGTTATACCATCTAATAACAAATCTAATTAATAGTGCTTATCGAATCGATATCGAGTAACTTTAAATAAGTTATGCAATCAAAAACAAGACTCTAAAACGTTACCATAGAAACCATTGTTTACAATTCAATTTGTCATTGTAATTATATTTCAGGCCATCTTTATCCAGCCTTCTCCAAATGAGGAAGTATTTAAAAAAAAAATTAGTTCCTGAAATCATACTAGATGTCACTCGCAATGTTTAGATTTTGTTTATGATATTCAGTAAAATTTTGTTACTGATGTAATAAAATTAAAATGAGTATCAAAAATTAATAAATATAACATTGTTTAGTGTTTCTTGTAATATCTAAGTTTTAAATTAATTTTAATTTATTTTAATCGTAAGTTTAAATTGTTTTTTGTGTTACGTGTAAAGGAACGATGTGTGGTTGATACGTCAACATTAGTGATAATAAGCCAACTTATTGGTTACTCGTAACTTTCATCCGAATTCAGGTTTGGAATGAAGAACAAAAAGCGGAGCGGAGAATTCAGCTTATATTTGTATGTGTCATTATCATTACCTATGCATCCACAAAACGAATGATATTACTGTAAAATATTATAATAAAAAATTCCTAGACGTACTATGGCATAAGTATTTTATTTATAAAAACTATTTGGCGGAAATATTATTGTATACCGTAGCTAAATGCCACTTTTAATTATATCAATTATAAATTAAAAAAACCCTCTGTGCTCGCTTCCATTATGTTATAATAGTTACCTTTTCCTCTATTAAAATAAAAAAGATATTTATTCAAAGATTACTTTGTATTAATCGAGTTGCGTTTGCATAACTCGAACTAATTAAATTTCAACTCGATATTAATCCGAGTTATCAGATCCATAACAACACTGACAATTCCATTCTTTTTGGTTTAACGTCATGAATTGATGTTTAGTTCCAACAATTTGTGCTGCCATCTAGTGACATAAGTAAGATTTAAGCATTGTGTGTGGGTAATGCTGTCTGATATTTAATGAACGAGTATCAGATACATTTTTATGTATTTAGAATGTATTAATTGATATATGCTTATTTTAAATTACTACATACATATTTTGATTTTTAAATTATATAAAATAATATTTACTACACTTAAATAATACATAATATATTTATATACATTCATATTCTACCTATGTTTTCAAATAATAACGTAATAAAACATTGTTTGGTGAGCTGCATGACAATCATGATTAACTTGTTAATTTCAATTTAAATAAAGTGCGAATTAGAATAATTGCAATATTGGAGGAGAAGCCTGGTGACTTGAAAACATCAAGCCTAATTTTAGGCTTATTGTTAGTTTCTGGCTCCAGTCTTCCACATATTACTGTTTACTTTGGCACTGGCTGATGTAATTTTTAGAACATTTGTGGAAGAAAATAAATAAATAATTAAAATTATTATAATCTGCCGAATATTTTTTTTAACAAAAACAATTGTTTTATTTGCAAAATAATTAGCCTGAAACACCGGCTAAGTGCGAGTCAACTCGTGCACGAAGGAAAGGAAATAACAATAAATTCACGTTTTTTGTATTTAAGCCCGCTTAAATATTTATTTTATTCTATTTTTTAGTATTTGCGGTTATAGCGGCAACAGCGGTTATAGCCTCAACTGTTTAACTATTACGGTTCATGTTCATATAGCCTGATGACAGACAGACATTGGGTTGTCGTTTTACCTTTTGGGTACGGAACCCTAAGAATTAAAGATGCTGCTGAAAGTCACTATTCCACGCGGACGAATTCGTAGGCACAACTAATATATTATAGATTCTGAATTGAACTAATTAATAAATCTCGTGTCATTTCCACAACGCTTTTTATTTTTGTCTTTTGGTAATGAGCGATTCCCTTTATTTACTATTACATCCAAATGAACAGCACGTCCATTATTGAAAAATACAAGAAATTTAAACATAAAAACAAAACAAGTCATGTCGAGCCGTATTTAACCGTAAGTATAATTCGCGTGTACATAGGCGTACCCAAGTGGTACTAGGCTTATAAAAATACTCCACCTCTTACATAAAATAACTTTATTATTGGCAAGATTCATAGCTGGATAGCCATGAACCCTCCTAGGAAAAATCCCAAGCTACGCCAATACGTGTGTATAAAACTGCATCTATTACTGATGCGCTGACGTGCTGAATCGACTCGAACCCAAGCCAAATCCGTGGTGACTTGCAACATGTTTCGACTCGATTCGGTACCCAACACAAACATGCATCCCATTCCCCTATGTCGTTATAAAACAGGCGCACGCCAGTATACAACTCCAAAGGAAGGCAATAATGAATAATTTATGATTCAATGGTTAAAGAACCTGATACTGCCTCTGATGCACAGGTTGACAAATGGAATAAAGAAATGATGGTTGTTCTGTCTGTATTGTGTTCTTTGTTTGTCGTCTGATACCAATCGTGTGGAGCCTCCTTTTAAAACTTGGATGTATGAATTATTATTAAATCCCTTTGCTTTAAAAACAATGAAAAGTACATATTATTGTGTCCCGATTGTATGTTTTTATGAACAATTTGAATTATTTTTAAAATAGTTATTATTCTTTTTTATTTATTATTGATTTCATTTTAATTAAATAATACCGGTTTAATATGGGTAAGTCTTACTTTCACATAACGATGTTATTAAGAGATTTTAATAATAGAATTGATGACATGGTCTTTTTTCAGAAAATATAGCTGAGGACAGAGAAAATTTGAGTGAATTCCTCGAAGAAGCTGAATTACAACAGTATTTTGAATTATTCAGGTAAATAACATCACATGAATATGACATATTATTGTGATTCGAAAATCATGATATTGATTGGATTACTTATAGTTTTTACATCGTTTGCGAATTATTTAAACTAAAACTGACTTATAAAACAATTTTTGTGAATTTTATCCGATTCAAATAACTTGCTCTTGCGAATTTTGTGTTGTTATGTGATATGCTTAATCTACCATCAGATGCATTTGTACTTTACAATATATTCTTAAATGGTAAAATTAGGTACATTCTTCTTTAGAAATTTCCTTATCGCAATTTTTGTACAGGGTTTTGTACCCTTTCTAAAAGGACAGTAAGCAAAACGCAATGGCAGCTGGCCCTCTTCCAATAGAAAAATTAAACTAGTTTTGTTTTATTTCACATAATTTTCAACACAACACTAATTCCCTTAGAAATAATGCAGGAATTGTGAACCATTCATGTCTTGTGTATGTATTGCAATTGCAAGTGATAAACTATTGCTATAAGATGTTAATATTGATATTAAATGTTAATTTTATATTTCTCATATTATTCTAGGAGAATTTAGTTAGCAAAGTGATATTTGATTCAAGACATTCCTTTTTTTTATTTTTTTAAAGGAGTATGATGTCAGTATAAAATATTCGGTACATCAAGATCTTTTCTAAGAAACATCAATCTTAGCTGTTGGACATGAAGACCAAGATGCTTATAAATTAACAATTATAATACTTATATTAATGTGTCTAATAATAGTATGTGATAAACATTCATACTTGCTGATTTCAGTCTGGATTTTCTTTTGTATTCCTAGAAATAGCATAAAAATATATAACTGTAACAAAGTTATATATTAAGTTCTAAACATCTATGCTCTATTATCAGCAATACCCACTCTGTTACTTATAAAATGTAAAATAAAAAATAGTTTTGATGTAACTGCATTGTGTGTCAGTAATGCACTACTATAGACCAACTAAATGTGAAATCATTAAGAAACTCTTTGATGTATAAACATAATACAACTATAATGAGTTAGAATGTTTCTTAATAATGGGATGGCTACCATGTTAATGTCAATGACCATTAAGTTTGAAACAACATATTATAATAAGTTAGTTTACTAGCATGTGATGTCACTTGTGTTGTAATCAAAGACATGGACAATTTTACAGCATATATTCATAGTATACTTTCAGTATGATTAAATTCCCAGCGTGTGTGTGTGTCCAGCTCTTGCCTACAACTTATTCTAATTGTTAGCCAAAATTAACCAACTAATACTCAGATTTTATTGAAAGTAATAAATGTAATTTTATTTTTATATATATGTATATATCTCTTGTTAAAGGGACATATTAAAAATTTCTAAAGTATCACAACTTAAATTTGTTGTGACTGAAGATTTGGCACAGATTGGATTGTCGAAACCGGAACAGAGGCGATATAAAAAAATATATTCTAAATACTTCCCAAACCCATATATTTCAAAAATCAAAAAACTTTTAAGCTCAAATAAAAGGAATGATGCAGTAAGTAATACAATAAGTAATACGACCTTTCTTTTCAAGATATGTTTATAAATACACTTCATAAAAAAAGACTATAGACTAACAATATGTTAGTCAAGTTATTCTAATAAATAAAATTGGTTTTATTATTTTAATTTATATATTTTTTCAGAATTCGCATGCCCACTCTTCTATTTCATTGGAATTTCAGCCTTTTTCTGATAAAAATATCAAAGTTCCTACAAAACACATAATATCTATTGAAGATATAACTATAAATAAAGAACTGGGCATGGGTCAATTTGGAGTAGTTCAACAAGGCACATGGTCTACGGGTACACAAAGAGTAAGATACTTTGATTTGTGTTAAGTATTATAACAATATATTTATTGAAGTATCTAGTGTCTGTTTTAAAGCTCATATGCTAAATTATCAATATATTTCAATCACATACCTGTGGAAGTTTGTTATGGTGGGACATAAAGGAAGTCAGGAAACCAAGAATGTTTTCTGATTATCTTACAAATTCGGTTCTCATTAAAAACAGTTGAAGTTTATATTATTTATCAAATTTCTTTTCTTTTGCATCACCCCTAAGTAAATGTTAGGTACATCATATGCATACCTGTGAATAACTAATACAAAAGGAGCTGGAGGAGGCTCCAAGGGACCATGGTGCCTCTACCATGTCTGGCAGATCTTGTCCTCCCACCTTCTGTTTGAGTGTACCTATTTCCTTACAAAGCCCCTAGGATACCATAAAGTGATCCACTTACTCCACTTTTCTATTGAAATGTGTAGCATGTGTCCGGTCTATTCACATTTTGGATGATCTATGAGGATCTCCTTGTCTAACCCCCTGTTTATAAGGAAAGAGTCACCACATAATTCCAATTTTATATGACTTGCTCTTCTATATAGGAATGATTTAGACTATCAAATGACTTGGAGTAGTCCATGAAATTGATGTATATTGGTTTCTGATGCCTTCTGAAATCCACTTGCTCAATGGGCTGAATTTCTTCTAAAGTATTAGTTATTCTTAGCAGTATTATTTTTTCAAATATTTTGTACACATTTGATATAAGGCTTATGTATCTATAGTTGCTGATATCGTCTATGGCTCCCTTCATGTGCCAAAAAATAATGTGTGACTCGGCCCACTGATTGGGAATAATTCCTGTTTTTAGTATTTTGTTAATATTGGAATTTGTTGTTCCATATTACTCCTTGACAACCCATTAGATATATGGTATGGTATGGCCCTGGAGTTCTTTCTAGTTTTTGGGGTTGATGGACTTCCGCATTTCTTCCTTCAGTATTGGTGGTATCTCTTGGAATATACTTACAACTTCTGTAAGTTTACTCACTATTAGTGTTTTTCTTAATAAAGGAAATACTGTAAATGAAATGTTTTACTTTGTTTTGTACTTTTGTGTATTATTTTTAACAAAAACACTGCATATTGACGATATGTTTCTAATGTTATTTTATTCTTCATCAGCTGCAAGTAGCCATCAAATGCTTAGGTCATGAGAGAATGACATCAAATTCAACAGAATTCCTAAAAGAAGCAGCCGTTATGCACAGCATAGAACATCCAAATATCGTTAGATTGTATGGTGTAGTATTACACTTGGATTCTTTAATGCTGGTGAGTATAATGACTGCCTTTGTGTACAATTATCGCAATAATAGATCTTTATCAAATCTAATCGATTAATTACATATTTTTATCAGCATGGAATTGAATTTATTAAAATGGAATGCTTTTTCAAAATTATTCATTTATTCAATAGTGAGCGTTTTCTTTTCATCACGTTTGAACATTTTATGTCATCATGGATTAAAGAATTGAGTAATTGCCTATAGAGTAATACGTTCGAGGCAGCAAAGTGGTTCACAATATGTCTATTTTTACGGAACTAATACTACAAACGAACTATTATATCCAACATTATTATTGAGTACACTGCTCGACAATCGCCCGGTGCCGCTTCCGTTCTGGAAATTTCGACCTGAAAAATGAACTAAGCAACAAATAAATTTGTTAACGATTGCAACATAAATAAATGTTCAACGATTGCAAAAGCTCAGCAAGTTGGTTGAATCCTGGTTCAACACTTACCCTTAGGGAAATTATGGCTCCTATTTGGTGGTCTTATGCCGCCGATATAATAACATCTTTTTACCAAGTGGGTTAAGCAATTAAGCATCAATGCACATGTACTATACTGTAAAGTAATAAGCGTCCGTGATAAAATCATTTGTAATTTTTATTTCAAAAATGGATAAATTGGCTTATAGCGCGCATGATATTGTTTTTAAACATGGTTAATTTCAATAGGTATAAGCTTCTTCATTATCTTTGTTCACTTGTCATCTTTTAAGAGTGTCAAACTGGTTCACTTACGTAGGACTTTTTTTTACCACTGTTTTGTTAATTTTAAGTTAAAATATGTATTGGACAACGTAAATGGTTACAACTTTGTTGACATTGGAATCGACGCTTGCACCATAGATTAACTTGTTACCACAGACCAAGAAGAACACACAGACCAACAAGGCACGTGCCGTAGTCACTTATTACACAATGATTTTTCTACTTTTTTTAATTCTTTGTTTTAATTTTAATTTTTTATTTATTATTTGTTATGGTCGTAATATGGTCCGTGTCGTCACTGCTGGCTTTGGCAGAATATCAGTGCAGCAAGCCCTGCTTGCTGCTCATACTGAGCTGAGGCCAGCTTGGCGACACACATCATGACACATTTACTTTTTCAATGTCTTCATTGTGTATTCTTTTTGTCTTTCTCCTTTTTTTGTTGTTATTTTTTAGTCTTTTTTTCTGTTGTATTTATAAACTGTATGTAAATTGTGTATGTGATGTGTGTTGCCAAATAAAATCTATTCTATTCTATTCTATTCTAAGAAGAATCGGTAAAGAACTAAACAAAATGGTGGAAAAGTTTACAGGTTGCTAATTAACTTTAGTTAATCGTTTAGGTACTTTGAACGATATAAAAAAATACGGTAACTTATTTCTTGAAACATAAAACGGCAATTTTATAGGTGAATAGTACAATATTTAGATCACCTAAGATTATTCTTTAATTGTGTTTTATTCATTCTCCTGTAGGTGACAGAGCTTGCTCCTCTACGTTCTCTCTTGGAATGTCTGCGTGAAATTGCACTGCGACCTAGCTTTCCTGTGCCAAATTTATGTGAATTTGCTGAGCAAATTTGTGATGGCATGACTTATCTTGAAAACAAAAGACTGATTCATAGGTATGGAGAATATCCCATAGTCACATATTATCAAGGAAATATGTTTTTCTCCCATAAATACTGTAATTTAATAAGTTTTCTTCTGTTCTGTTTTGACTATTTTACAGAATTTTAAATATAACTTGACAAGAAAACTGAATTGAGTCTACAAAGATTTTGCAACAGATTTAATATGTGTAATATAAAATGCAAATATAGTAATATGTGTAATATAAAATGGTCACTGAAACTTTCTTCATGAATTGTTTGCTGCATTGGTTAAAATTATATTATGTCAACGCACATGTAAATATAACCCTAAAGATGTTTTCTTGTTTTTGTAGAATGTGCTGCATGTAAGACGACTTTTTAAATTATCTGTGTCATCTCTTACAGGGACTTAGCGGCAAGAAATATCTTAGTGTTTAGCAAGGATAGAGTAAAAATTTCAGATTTTGGTCTATCACGAGCCTTGGGCGTAGGTAAAGACTACTATCAAACTAATTATAATGTGAATCTCAAATTACCTGTAGCTTGGTAAGTATGTTTGTATGTATCTATACTAATATTATAAGAGGAAAGGTTTGCTAGTTTGTTTGTTTGCAACGAATAGGCTCTAAAACTACTGGATAGATTCATCATATTTTGCATTATATTTTATCCCGAAAAAAATAGCAAATAAAAGAATGAAAATGGGGGTGAAAGTTTGTATAGGGAATTAAAACGTTACCATAGTAACCATTGTTATTATTCAATTTGTCATTATAATTATATCCATGTCATCAATAAAAAAGGTCATATGACAATAAAAAAAGGGCAGATAGGTTACTTTAATTCAAAAAGTGTCACCTTAAAACTATGCTAATAAGCATACCTAAGCGCAGTTTGGCAAAAACGTAGATTGTGTGCATTTATATACCATAATCATTTTAAAAATGCCATTATATGTTATACGAAACTGTAGAAACAACATGAGTAAGTCGTCTAAAGACCAAGGGGTCAAATTTCATTCGTAAGTGTACGTTTTTAATTGAATTGCGTTTTAATCAGAAAATAAATAATGTGTGATAAAAAGAAAGAGTTCCGTTTACATATTGTGAAAAAGATCTGTCAAAGATTAAATAAGTAACAGAACGGACAATTCGACTTTAATGCCTACGCTCTACCTTACATTTATTTGAAAATCTATATGAGACTAAAACACCAAAACTCTTGTGTTTTGAATTCAGAGCATCAAAACCTATCTCCGGAGCTAAAAAAATATTCCGATTCCGTTTCGATCGAAGCCCTCGTTTTATTATACATATTATGTTTCAGGTTTATTTTATCGCTTGAAAGGTTCATTATTTATACACGGGCAAATAATATATATACTAACGACAAGGAGAAATAACAATGTTAGACATCAACGTTTTTAAGTTGACCTGTTGATCGAAGTCTTTTACCCGTTTAGGTAAAAGTATGGTTTAATCCCTACACATAACATATATTAAATCATTATATGTCTGGGCTGTGACATATTCAATTATAGTCTATAAATAATTAGAGAGTCTCGTGTCATGTGCGTATATTTAAGCTGGGGACAATTTTTGACACCGTATTAGTACTGACATGACCTATCTACCCTTTTTTATTGTAATATCATTGCGTGTCATAATATGAATCGTATCCAAATAAACAAACAGTTTTTTTAGTTTCCCATTGTTCTTAGCTTCTTATCAATCATATTTTTTTGTGTACCATTGATATAATCATGTTAAAGTGAACTGGCGATATTCAGGTGCGCTCCCGAATGCATACTATATCTTCGTTTCACTTCAGCGAGTGATGTCTGGGCATTTGGGGTATGTCTCTGGGAAATGTTCACGTATGGCTTCCAGCCATGGGCTGCTTTCTCTGGGCAACAGATATTGGAGGCTATAGATGCACCAAATTTCCAGGTATTTGTTTTTAACTATGTACTAATAAACTAAATAAATTAACTAATATAGTAGTAAATTTACAAATATCCCCGTCACAAAAGTACTGTTAAGATATTGATTTTTAATTGGAAAACTATTAGAGATAGCATGTTAATCAAAGAATTCTATGAATCCTATTATTACCTATACTACATACCCTCTCACCCACACTCACTTATTTCTGATTGTTAGATCTATTTAATGTGGCTTAAAATTTCCATACACATTTTCTAAGGACAGAGGCACTGTATTCTAAAATACAGGTTTCAACAAAGTTTAGAGACAGATAATAGATATTAATAAAAATTTATAAGCATCACTCATGTAAAACTTGTCGTATCGTTTATATAGCCAATAAAGATTAGTATTATTAAATTATTAATAACTTAGGGTAGACAAAGCAATTGTGAGATATGCGCGAGATGAAAGGGGCGCGGTACCGAGCATAAGTGGCGATATACTCGTTTGGGAGGGCCACTTAATTGCCTGTAATTTAGTACAATAATGCTACACGGGTTGTATGAGAATTATGTATATTTTTAAATTATATTTCTGATACCTTATTTAATGTAGGTTACATTAATGCAATTAATGTTCATCAATAGTATTTTATTATAAAACTGTGATTCATAATATCATCATCATCACTAGCCCTTTTACGTCCCCACTGCAGGGGCTCAGGCCTTTCTTATGGATGGTTAAGGAGGGTGGCCCATGAACCTCCACGCTGGCCCAATTGGAGGTTATTAACGACTGCAAATGCAGCCGGGACCAACGGCCTAACGTGCCTTCCGAAGCATTCATAATATACTTCTTTTTTAATTTTTCCAGAGATTAGAAAGACCTGAATGTTGTCCGGAAGCATATTACACCACGATGCTTGAATGTTGGTCTCACAATCCAAATGATCGACCGAAATTCAGGGATTTGGGCGCCAAACTAAGAGAATTTCGCCCAGAACAGGTATTTAACACTAACTTAAAAAGTGGCAAGATAAGTTTTAACATTAATATAATATGTTTATGAAGAATTTTACTATTTAATTAAAGTTCTATTTTTATATTTATTATCATAATTATGTTTATTAAAATAGTAATTACCATACTAGGTAGGTATGTTGAAAAATATTGGTCATTGATCTTTAGCCAAGTAGCGATCAGCTTATACATTTTTATTATTTTTTATACCCAATGTTGACGAGTTAAAGAAGAGAGAAAAATAAATTGAATTTGATTAACCATAACAAATACTTTAATTTTGGTGCATGACAACAATTTCATTCTGTATATAATTAATTTAAGATAATCTGTATTCTTGCTTGATAATTTATTAATGTCTAATATGCTTACAGGTACAATTCATAACTAATTCTCAGAAACCCGAGGATGGCAGACGAAGTAATTCCCTGGAATATAAATCGGGAGATATCATAACAGTATTAGGAAAAGAGTGAGTTGGTAGCATTTCATTTGTTTTTTTTTTCATACTTTTCATAATCAGGTAAGATACAATTTATATTTAGAGAGATCTTCAATAATTTCTCTTTTCTCTCGTCTTGACTGAACTGATCGTCGATATATAACTTGTAAAGAAAAATTTTATTGTAAGTCTTTTTTATTTAATTCAAAGCTCAATGTTTGGGTATAATTTTACTTTAATTGCATGCTCAAAACTAAACAGCTTCAATGTTGCAGAGAAATGACCAAAACCTCAATGTGGTATGGTGTGCTGCCGGGCGGTGCATGCGGCGTTTTCGACCCAAGCCATACTAAACCGTATACCAAAAATGACGTAAGTGCTATAATATTAGGTTATGATGTGCTGTTTGAGCTGCTTCATCATGGTGTATAAGTTTACTATGTTACTGTCTTTACTTCTTGACGCTTATAACATTATACATCTTTTGTTTTTATTATAATATCAGTTTATCTTTTCTTACTCGTAAAGTTTTCTTGACATCATGCTTTCGAAAAGTTTTTCACGTTAAAGAATCATATCCAATTTTAACCTAAAAAGTTACTAGCGCATCTAGTGATGCAATATATTTCAAAATGTGGCTTATTTTTAACTAATATAAGTATTAGTACCTACACATTATCTTGAGTTCTGACAGCTGCTATAACCTCAAATTACGAAACTCCCTGGTCTACAAATGAAAAAGATATTATTCTGTTTTAAGTAAAAAAGTAATTTAATTATCACTAATGGTGGGGTAGATCCTTTAAAAAAACATATGACAGGTCAATCAGTGTATGGAAAAGTGGACACGATTCTTTAAAAATCAAACATCGGGTTCATTACTTTCGGTTGAGTTCATTGTAAATAATACATATCATCGGTTTGGCTAAGCTTTCCTTCACCTCAGAGGATCGGGCCCACATTATCACCGAGCCCTGTTCGCGTCTCCGCTCGCTCGCTTCGCTCATCGCTGCTGCGCACTGACGTCAAAAGACACACGTACACAGGCAAGCGGACTATACAGCGGAGCATGATATCAAGTCCGCAAGGGGACGTAAAACATACAGGACACGTTGGATTAGACGGTGCCTACTTTGGAGATATATCCTTCTTAGATCCAGCTGGCTGTGTGAGTATCGCTTCTAGGATCACTGCGTTATCTATTGACTTGTTGCCGAATTAACATAACTTTCGTTTTTTAATTTATGTACCGAGTGTTTTTTTTTTAATATATGTATAGTGAATAAAATAATAATTAATCGAGACAATATAATTTGCTATCAATATTTCTTTATCATATAATGGAAAATAGTCATGTAGAAACAATAACTTTTTTTTCAAACATAAACGGTCAACAGTTTTTTTTATTTCTTATGGAGAGTTCTTATTGGTTTACGTTTGTCATACATTTAATAATTTCTGTTTTGAATTGTTTATGCTTGCTGGATATATTGATGGCAAGTATTTACGATCTAAATCATTAGCTGCTTCAGCTCTTTCGATTATGCTTTTATAATTTGCACTTAAAAATGATCTTATGATGACATGAGATCCAATGTTATAAGTTTTATTATTTGAACTTCTCGGGCATTTGTGGAATATCTGAATCCAAGTAGTCGTCGTCAAAATGTTCTTCGTTGTGTCAATGAAGCACTTTGATTTTATTTTAAAATATATATAATAAGCAGAGGTCGAAATTAGGTAGAGTTATTTATGTACTTGCATCGAAATGTTGATATTAATGTGGACCTCCCGGGATTTCTTTATTTATTCTTTCTTTATTTCTTTCTTTCATTGATGTAAGTTTGGCAACGTCGTGCGTGCAGTAGTTTAAATTGTGTAAAAGTAAATAACTTTTTATTTAAAAAATCACGGGATTTTTTCTGCTCTTTAAAATTAATCTCAGGATTTGAGGCATATCCACTTTATTCTTTCGCTGTATGAAATCAGTGTAAGTACATGAATAACTCTACCTAATTCCGACCACTGATAATAAGTTAAAAAGTGCTAAGCAGTAAACATGTTTTTAATTTGTTCGGGGACTAGATATAGATCATGTTAATTATGAAAAAGAACTAGCTAATAATTAAATGTACACAGTAATAAAGGTATACACCATTTTTTAACAACTTTGTTATTGCTAGTGTTCTGCGTGTAGACAACGTTTTGGGCGAATTTCGATCACTGGACGGTCACTGGTGTCTTCCGTAATGTCTGGTTTTTCTTCAGCCTCCCCGCCAGGTCGTTGCACCGTACAGACCCTCCGAAGACTTGGAGCAAGTGCCATTGATAAATCCGAATTCGCCATCGCATTTCACTGCGGCAACATGCACACCACCATATCCAATGCTGTCATCTCAGGAGGACAAACATGTCTGCGACGAAGTAGATCTGCCTTGTACGTACTGTTACAACTTACATACTACTGTTGACTTAAGGACGATATTTCTTTTTTCTACCAATTCTTATTTATTTATTTTTATGTCATATGAATATTTGTGTATAAAAAACTCGCGATTTTAATAATTTACTCAGTCACTTATATTATATTATAAGTTTTCTTTTTAATCAAATATCACATTTCGTGATATTTAAAGTGGTGAACAAGCAAGTGTTAAGAAACCATCATCGAGATTTGATTTTGATTTATCCGCATATGAGATACTAATTATTGGACCAGCTACCACTAAATAGATGTCATTAACAGATAGGCCGCCGTATCTCACCAATACATAATAACCATCGTGTTTATGTTATAGGTCCTGAAATGAGATCAAAGAGTCTGAAAAGATCGAGTCATAGAACATGCGAACCTACGACGAGCAAAAGCATTTTGAACAAGGTTAGTTACTTTGTAATTTTAATTGAAGTTATTTACTTATAAGTCGGATGTCTAGACCACATTGTCTTCTGAATATAAGCAGAAAAGAATTCATACTGATCTCGAGAGAAGAGTAAGTGACAATGATCTTTTGGCTGTCAGACGGGGTTTTGAGTTAGTTTGCGTTCCATATCTAAATATTTTTGCACGAGACATATAGAATATTTCCAAGACATAAGTGTAGCAGTAGCGTTATGGCTAGTGCAACCATCTGCTACAGAAACAAAAAGAGGAATTATTTCAATATTCTTGTATTATATAACAATAAATATGATACAAAACAATCTTATCTGATAGAGATTATGTGTCTCTCCTTTTTTGGTACTGCAACGCACACTACGGAGAAATACCGCTGGTTTACTGTAGAGTTGTGATTAATAATTAGTGAGTAAAGGACTATACCTATATCTGGCTATGAATTTATATTCTAATGTAATCTATATTATTGAGACACCACTACGACAATTTTCTATAGCAACTGAAATAGTTATGCTTTATGGAATGTACATAAGTATTTTTTATCATAAAGTGCTTACTTAATTCTTACGTAATTCGTACCAGTTGTTAAGTAACTTCCACAAGGGCCGGTCAAAGGATGGGTGACCAAAAATGTCTATCAACTCGAGCTCCTCCGTGCTTTAGAAGGCAATTTAAGCCGCTGGTCCCGGCTGCATATGCAGTCGTTACCAGCCGCATTTTGCTTGTTTGGTGAGTCGTGGCTTATTCTCTCTGACTTGATCCCATTTTTAGAGAAGCCCAGAGAGCCTCAGTAGTGGGTAAATTAATAGTCTAATGTGTGGATATGCATATGACGTCACTACCCATATCCGTACATAATTATTTCTTCTTTGCTAGGGTACTCTCCTAATATTAATGTACTGACATGAAACATGGCACGCGCTTCTTTTTTAATTTGCTTTTTTAATGTAATTAATTTATTATTTGTCAGGTTAAATCGGCGACATTGGGACGTTCGAATAAAACTGAAAATGGCGCTTCTAATGCTGATGAAGTGCACGAGTACCACGAGATATCTGACACCGACACGGTGAGATATATTTTCATTTAATCACGCCACTGTTTCAATACAAAAGGGTTATTTTGTGAAACACCAATAGCCTCCGAGGACATAATAACCAACATAATAAAGAACAGCGTTCCACAAGTTCTGATAACTCGTTAATTTTGCTTTCGTGAATAGTAAGTTAAATTAGTGCCACAAGACATTTGTAATGGTTGTTTTCTTCCTGATTTTTTCTGATGTAACAGTATATTTGACTTTAAGTCACTTTCCGTTATATTAGTAAGTTAACTTCTTTGCGAATATTGAGTATATAATAGTATAAAAAACACTTGTCTTTTTTTTAGAATCGATTTGTATATATAATGTAAGGTGTAAGTAGATACAATCTACTTCTCTATTCAAAGTGCAAAAGAATGTGCAAAGCATTAACGTATTCCAGAGCCAACCCATATCAAAAAGTTTTATTCCAAATAATCAAACGTAGTTTTTATATTTGCCGAGTGACACGTACGACATTGTAAAAGAGGTTTTTTGGGTATTTCCAGGTTTTTAGAATACCAGAACGTGAGTTATAGCGTTTTTTTTCTTTATTAGACGCTTTTCACATTCATAACATCACGATATTAAGAATTATACATTGCTATATCAGTTAGTGCACTGCTATGAAATTGAATAATTTCATCATTGTTATCATGTCTCGTAAATTGTACGAAATACTCATAAATTACACCTCGGTGAATTCATAAAATAAACAATAATTCTGAACGCAGATATATTTTCCTCGGACTAGCAATTTGTAATAAATCTAAAGATAATCAGGTTTTTTGACCAATCAAATTTTTAACTATTCTATTTAATCATCGATTTAATGTTCGTGAACTAATTCATTTGTTTCATAACACAAATAAATTGCTATCAACCGTAAAATGATATGAAATGTCTGAAAGTATGTGAAGATGTTAATACATTAAACAATAATAAGATAATAATAAACTCATAATAAGTTCAATAATTTGTAAGGATACACATAGTTTATATAAAATATACCTGAAATTGTATTGTGTTTGTTATTTAGGGCCAGTTTCACCGGTTACTGATAAAGTTTCAGATAGTTATCTGATATTTAACGCTATCTACTGGATAAAGGTTGCTGTTAACTTTTTTCTGTTTCACCATCAAACTGCTAGATAATTTATTTGGCAGATAAGTTATCGGCCACTTATTGGTTGACGGAACGGCAACGTCGCTTTTTTGCGTTTCAATACTACGACCCAAATTATAGTCAATCAAAAATCATTTTTAAAACTTAATTAATATTTTTTTTGTGTTCAATATTATGTAAGTAAACTTTTTTCATATATTTTGAATTATAATTTTATGATTCTAGAATGAAAATAATACGATATTCGTATACTTAGCTACGTGTTTACAGAAACGAAACGCAACTATCATTTATTTTGCTTTGTTGATATTTTGTGCTTAAGACGCTTTTCAATTTTTAAACTTTGCTTTGTGTATTCTTTTTGTATCTGTTAATTAATAATGAAAAAACAAAAACGTGAAAGAAGTGTGAATTTTAATCAAGAAGAAAAGGAGCTTCTTTATTTACTAGTTAACGGAGATTTTTTACTTAGTAGCCCGTTGTAGTTTTTATATCACTTTCTATTAACGATAGAATATAAACAACAGCCGAAATCGATTCCTAAAATCTTGAACGTCAAGTGATTCTAAATAATGAGGTCTAGGGTTAATTACTCGATTCCTACGGGGTCGCGTAATATGTTCGAAATATTCATCTAATTCGTCTTCTAAAAACACAAATAAATCCATTTTAGAATATTTGTGACACTTGTGACTGCAATCAACGCAAAGCACACAATAACGGTCTTAAACTAAAACTATTTTCGTTCCCGTCACTTGAAACTTTTTTTTTATCTATCAGATAACGTCTATATCAGCCACTTGAATCGGCTGATAACATATCTAATACTTTATCTGCCAGATATAGTTATCCGAGACCTGTGAAATCAAAAGTTGTAGTTTATCTGGCAGATAAGTTCCTAATAGACTATCAGGGACTTTATCAGCAACTGGTGAAATTGGCCCTTAATGTCGTTAAATAAGTACTTAATGAATCTGGTCTTGTAGAATCTTATTGAGCTTTCATAATAATGAAACAAGATGGAGAATTGACATTTTATATCATGCATGAGTATCAGTTGCATGTGAACAAACATGAATTAAGATGTTCTATAAATATGTCCTAAGGTCCACTATAGTATATCATTCAAAATGACAGTGACATATGCACAAATAACAAAGATTCGTAGTGCACCTGTGTTCACTATAAAATTATTATTATATACTTAGAATAATAACTAAAGCATAGAAACCTCGCCAAAGTCACAAGCGAAGACATGTATTCGTATTTTCCTTACGACCTGTGTTAATGCGTAAGAAAGAGTATAATATCAGTCATGTCTCAATTTATGTAGGTTGTCACAAGTTTATGCAAACCCATAAATTAACTATTTTTACCTTACTTACGTTCCTTGTTTTTTTAGAACGACGAATCCAAAAATCCTCGCATTTTCTTATGATTAAGGGTTAATTATCTAATTTAAAACTCAATCTCCATCCCTTTCCATTTTACATTTAAAAGATATTCAAGATTTTTCGCTACAACTATTGCAATCGCGTCGTTTATTTGAAAGATATTGAATTAACGATATCGTTAATTAACGTTAATGGGAATTGTCCAACGCGAGCGTTAGACGCAAACTGAAAGCTATTGAGATATATCAGAGCAAGAAGAATGATCAAGAAACAATAAAGAAAGTTTTTATTGTTTCTTGATCATGCGAATCACCACTTGTTAGAAAAGCAATAGCGACTTTTAAAAGTTAAATAATTTAATAAATTGCAAATCCAATTGCTATCCTTTTCAAAGGAATTGCGATAAATCACATGAGATCAAATGCAACAAATCATCAAATGCATCTGAACTTATTGTTTTTGCTGAAGAAATTTTGGGTTTGATGTTGCCAGAACTAGAAATGAATTATTCTTTATTCTAATTGTTCTATTGGCTGAAGTCTGTTTAGTTTTATGTTAGTTTGTCAATAACCGCATATCGCTAATGACAATTAACAAATTCAATTGATAGTAAACAAAAATAAAAATGACCTCAAAATAAATAATGAATGAAACGAAGACATTTTACTGTAACTTTATTGTGAAACAAAGCACATAATTGCGTGATTTTATTAACAACTAGTGGCCGCCAGCGACTTCGCCCGCGTTTTCCATTATTTCTTCGCTCCTAATAGTTTCAGTGTGATGTTATATAGCCTAAAGCCTTCCTCGATAAATGGTCTATTCAACACAAAAATAATTTTTCAATTCGAACCACTAGTTTCTGAGATTGGCGCGTTCAAACAAACAAGCAAACTCTTCAGCTTTATAATATTAGTATAGATGACGATTCTATAAATATGTGAGCGAATTATGGTAATGGCTTTTATGAATTTAATGAAAAAATGTTACTTCGTTATGACACTATGCCATCTTCTTTTTTTTTTATTGACTGGCCTCGCGATTTTCTCTCGTTTGATCTTCTTTACCTTTACCTCTCTTAATGATGACATTAGAATTGTATGTGTTGTACAAGCAGCATTAAATTATTATCCAGTTGTGTAATTTAGTCATCCGTGCATCACCTTCCTGTTTCCGATAAATGCACGCATTATCAGTTATCGGCGGCCTGTCATATCGGCTAAACAGAAGAAAGATTCTCGTGTAGTTAATAATCATGTATTTTTCAATATATACTGTGATAAATTCTCTTTAGTATTGTTCCTTATCTACTGTTTTATCGTTTCCTTTAGGAGAGTATCGTTAATGATAACGCAAGGCTCGAAAACTTGGTACCACCTGAGAGTCCAGGCATACCTGTAAGTAAAGGAAATTTAATAATTAGAAAATATGTAGTTATCAGCTAAGTTTATTGTTTTTGGGAATATGTCGGAGTTTAATATTGTTGTTGTTATTTTTAAAGTATCATCAATATTATATATATTAATATTAATATCCCATCTCAGAGTACCATGGAAAAAGTGGATGTTTAAACATTTTTCATGAAGAATATTTTCCAGTATAGCATTGTGAATGCGAAATTGATCAAATTCCATTTATATAATAAAGTTTTGTCTAAAATTGAGATGATCTAAATAATATTTTATGTCACAGAAAACATATGGAGATTTTAGTCAGAGTTTATTAGAAGAAATGGAGTCTTTATTCCGAAGTCTAGACGGCAAGAAGCGAGATGAAACGGTGAGTTATTTTACATTCCAAAGAATTATCTTTATAATCAATTTTAAAAAAATCCTCTTATAAAAAGAAAGACAACAAAAACGAAAGTTCGCTTTTTCAGGATATCGAAGAAGATTTATTATTATACGGTGCTGCTACATCGTCATACTGTCGTTCCTATTACATTTGATAATTATTAAATAATAGGCGCAATAAGTTCAGTAAGAAAAAGTAATTGGCAATATTTCAATTTATTCAGGTCATGCATACGTTGCAGATCATTCTCGGTAAGAGTAGACAAGAATTTGGTCAGTCATGTAGTGTTCAAAATTGTAATGTTTGTATCGTTTTTTGGTTTTTCACTGTGTATCATAAACTAACGGTTATAAAGTCAAATTGTTTCCTAGGTTATGTAACTTATAGTAGAATTCCATCACACAGGACATATTGTGTATATCTATCTATATCGTCTGGACCGAACCCCAACTTTTATATATTTTATAATATGTACACCCAGTTAAGGAACGTGGTAGTTTCATAGAAATCATGAGTAGAGTATTTTTTTATGTATAATATCATTTGTCATGTTGCTAGTATTTGTGAGTGTAGTATTTAGCTTTTTTATAAAACTGTGTAATTTATGCCAGTTGCAAATATAGTGAAAGTACTAGTTCAGTGTTAATTAAAAAAAATAATCATCTTCTCCTTTATTTGCAGGGTAGCATGAGTAGACATAATGATGTGGAAACTACAAGGTAAATTAATAAAGGATGAATAATATGATTTCATTTAGACTTACAGAAACACATAATGAAATCGAAAGATCATATGATTAAAGGGCAAGAACGATCAAAGTCACCTTGATGCATATATCAAATCATAATTTGAGATAATATTTCCATCTGGTTCTTTATAATATAAACTAATATCAGGTCACTAATATCAGGTCAACTTCACATAATAACAAAGTTTCTGAGCGAGTATTTGTGTCAAGTTGATAATCCGATGTTTCACCGTTTGAGATTGTAACGCCGTTAGTATACTGACGCAATCGCATGCGATTGTGAAACATTTACGAAATCTTGTTAGTTGTATGGCAATTCACACATGTGCTTTGTCTCGCTCTATTATTAGTTAAATGAAATTTTTGATTTTTATGTTTTTCGCAATCAACTGCGAAGTAAGTCATTACACAAATGCATATATGCTTCACATTCAGGGTTGCTACCCTACTCGGTTTTTGATGACTATCCGAATATCACGAATTTTGTTTCGCAAAAGGTGACAACCGTGTCATTATTCGCTTAGTTTCGCAGATGTTTCGCATTCAGAAGTGAATGCGTCGGTACTGACGGCGTGACAGTTCATAAATTCTATGGCTTTAAACATGATGTACCACTGTAGGAACCGTAAGGTTGAAGGCTGGGTCCTATAGTGATGATGGAGACAACTGGTAAGGGAGACTAAAGGATAATTGTCTCCCTTCGAGTATCTTTTCTCTGACCGACGGGATTGCTGCGGATGTGTGTGCCTTTCCCCCGCTTAGAAATGCTAATCAGTAGGGTGACTACTGAAGAAGTGACTACTGACTTCCTGAACTACAGGAAATCTTAAATAAAACAATAGTTAATATATATTTTGTTTATTTATTAATATTATTATCTTATAGATATATTATCTGTGATGTTTATATATATATTGTATTTGATAACTAACTGAGAGTTTTCAAGTAAATAAATTTTCTTTCATTTCAGTTCAAGTGACTGGTCATTCTTTCCCTGAACTCTTTATATGTATATAATACAAATATGAATTTCTGTTTCCTTTTCAGATCTCATACATTAAGTAAAAGTGAGAGGAAAAAATCACTTCAAACCGATACAATGAAACCTATGTCGGCGCACGATGAAAAAACTCTGGAAATTGCATGTGCCATGGCAAATGAATTAACTACCAGGTTAGTAAGTTTATACGACGCATTAATTAATACATAATTGCACCTACGTAGTACATATAATCGTTCACACATAAGTGGTAACTTTAATATGCCACTATTGCAAAAAGTTACCAAAGATAGTCTGTACTTTCTTATAGTCCTATGACTATACCATGTGAGAGATCCAAGTTTGGTTTAGACTTTCATAGTCTGTACGCTTCAATTTGATGTTCCTTTTCAATAACTGTATCATCACCAACCTATTATTGTCCTCACAGCTGGGGCTCATCCTTATGGATGGAATCGAATCGAATGGAAGTCAAGTTAAATCTTTATTGAAGACTTCTTAAAAGTACTTTTGAATCGTCCAACATTTTTTCCCTACCACTCGTTCAGGACCATTTTTGGCTGATAAGAAGAACAAGCAAGAAACTCACCAGCTCTAATGGGAGTAATGACATTCATAAAAACCATATACTTACCAGATTAATACCTTGAAAATTACCAGAGAAAAAAAAAACGATGGTCTTATAATGATAACATAATAATTTAATAATAATGGAAATAAGAAATTTTTTGAGATATACAGCCAGTTGCATAAACGTCCATTAAAATTATCTTTAGTTTAAAGCGACATTACCCATACAAATATGACATTCATTAGCGCTTAAAGGACTCAATAAACCTTATTGGACGTTTGTGCAACTGACCGATAATGAGTTTAGAAGAAATCCTGTTGCTGGACCATCTTAAATCCAAGCATTCTTATATGTTATATAATCGGTTACCTTATAATAAGCTTTTCTAATAAGTATTTTTTTAATAGTAGATTTAAACTGCATGATATCTAATTGTTGTATTTTGCTTGGTACCTTATTGTAGAAGTGCACACAAAGACCCCTTAACGAGTTATTAACTTTTTTGCAGTCTAGTGACTGGTACCGTTAATTTGTTTTTATTTCTTGTATTAAAATTATGTACTTCTTGTATTCAAATTTTTATAGAAAACAAACTAATATTTGTACGACCATACATTAAGTTCTTGTATATGTATTGAGAAGTAACAGTCATTATGTCTTATTTCCTTAAATTTCACCCTTAAAGAGTTCCTAATCCTAAGATTATAAATTGATCTAATTGATCTTTTCTGAAGCACAAAAATCGTTTTTTATGTCGGCAGCATTTCCTCACAATAGGATTCCGTACGACATTACACATAATATAATTTAATAATTATAATTTATTTATTTATTTCTTTCACAAAATACACAAAGTCGATTAATATACGTTCACAGGTTTTGAAAGTAACTGAAGTATACTAATCTAGCAGTATCTATGTCAGTTAACTTACGTATCTTTATTACGGCATATGCTGCAGAGCTAAGTCTATTCGACAATCTCTCAATATCCCACATATTGAGAGATTGTCTGTAGTTTAGTTGTAGTTTTGTCCCCACTGTAGTTTAGAATCTAATGTTATTCCTTAAAATACTGTGGTATCCACAAGGACCACCTTCTTAACTTTTATATTAACATTTATATCTACTTTTTTAACATTAGGTAGTACAAATTTTAGGCATATTGGTTTTCCTTTATTAAAGAGATTATATTCATTAAACCGATAGAATTGATCACGTCATCTTTCGGAGGTAGCACTCTTTTATCTTTAAACAAGAGTGAAGTGCCATCCGCAAACAAAATATTTCGTGATTATCCCCTACGAAATAAGGCAAGTCATCTATTTAAATTATAAACAAGATAGGACCAAGTATCAAGCCCTGTGGAACGCCCATCTTAACTTTCGATCCAAGGGATCTTTTGCCATTGATATCAACCCTCTGCATTCTGTCAGTCATATATGAGACAATAAACCCGATGAGTTATCTCTAAAGCCATAATAATGAAGTTTCCTAAGAAATGTTTCATGAAAAACACAATCAAATACCTTAGATAGGTCACAGAAAACACCTAACGCATCATGTGAATACTCCCAGGCATTAAAAATTTCTTAACTCGACAACGGCTTCGGTTGTTAAGCGACCCCTTGTAAAATCCAAATTGTTGGCGATTCATAAGGTTATTCTTGTAAAAGTATGTTTGTATTTCATCCAGCAATGAAGAATGGGCCATGACCCACCACGAGAGGCCAGTGCGGATTAGTGGGTATTAATGACTGCAGATGCAGCAGGTAGCAATGGCTTAACGTGCCTTCCGACCCATGAAGGAGTACGAGATAATAAATTTTTGGTCACCCATCCTTTGACCGACCATTGCGAAAGTTGCTTAACAAATCCAAAGTGACAGCCGGTTCTAAATATTCTACGTTAGTAGCTCTTTGACTTTAAGCGTCATAATAAAATAGACCAGCAAATACATCCAGATTCCGATGATGAGATGACATTGTTTCTTCATTTCCATAGATCAATGGATATGGAGAGTGACGGTAAAGGTCCCAATTCACCGAACGACCGGTCCAAATTTCACTTCAAGTTTCCACTGATGTCGTCCCATCACACCGTGCCATTAGAACTCGAGAAGGAAGTCCCTGGTAAGTTGTATCAATCTAAGAGAGAAATTTTACGTAACTTTACACTAAAATTATCTATTTACAATAAATAAACTCCGAAATCACTGAAGTTGAAAGAATATATATCTACGGGTAGCTACGTTATACGCGGGTGTCATTGGCTCATTTAACGTTAGCGAAGTCACGAACAGTTAGCGCAATGAATACAAATAATAAGAAATTAAGAAAAATAATATATGACAACTTTGTATTCTTATAAAATAGTTGATGCTCTCATCACGATTTGTTCCTATGATTATGTATAGTTTTTACGTCGCATAAATATCGTAATGCTTTGAATATTTATTTAATATAATTTAAAGCTTAACAGATTTACTAATTATTTAAAATAAGTATTTTTGATTTGACGAACGTTGTATAATGTATGTGTTTATTGTTTTAACGACCATACTTGTTTAATTATTTATATTATTAATATACTCTTATTTCAGGGAGAGAACGCCGTAATTTTAGTGAAGAAGCCCATAGAGTTCCAGATATACAGGTAAACACACACACACACTATATATAAAATCAGTTTTATGCCCAAGATAAATCATAAGCCTAACAACTATTGCAATAAAAAAAAATACAATTCGTTTCTCAGTAAAAACTCGTAATGTCAGAGTAATATTAGTACGGGTATATATAAATAAAACAAAATATTTATTAAATTTGATCTATTTTGCATTCACAATGCTATACTGAAAAATATTCTTAATGAAAAATTCTTTAAAATATCCACTTTGTTCCTGGCACTCTGAGATGACTCGAACCCACAACCTTTCGCATTCCCTGGATTTTTTTAAGCATTACCAATGAAAAAATTTCATATTCAAATTTTTTTTTGTACTATTCTCTTCAAGAAACTAGATTTCAAAACGCTCATGAAGTTTTAACAGTGTTGTTGTAACAGTAATTTCGTTTCCTATAGCCATACTTCGAAGGATCTTCGTTGATTTATTATATAAAGTGTGGTTCTGTCGGGGTAACACAAAAGGTCAAATTTCTGCAGTCAATTCTATACCTTAGCTCAGCATAATATGTTTGAAATCAAATTGAAAATACATATTGCCAGATTTACATAACATGAAATCGATTGTTCAGAAGTCCATTAATGAAACTAAAAGTGTATTTTGCGCAACTAATGCAAAGTTTCGAAGTGTCGTTCAGATCTTGTCGTTTTTGTCGCAGGCAACCATCACAGAGGAGAGTAAACTAGCGTACACTAGCCTCATAGAGCAGCCGACTCCCACGTCTACACTTATCATTTCACAGATGCCCGGTGACGTCACCGGAATATACAAACCGGGAACCATCCCTAAACTAGCACCCCGCACTAACACTAGCAAACAGTTTCACTCGCTCCAAAAAATGCATACGAACAGGTGAAATATAAAATATATAATGATATTAACTAATCTTATAAATGTGGAAGATTTTGATTGTTGCTTTGTGTTTGTTTGATGAAATTTGGGGCATAGTTCAAATTACATTTTATATTCCTTAAGAGAGTCCCAAGATATTGTTTTAAAAGATTCTAGATTCCACGCATATATGTGAGTGAATATTGAAAACTTTTGTCAGGTTTTTGGTAATCCAGTGGTTTGTTTCATATAAAGAAATTGTAATTATGTTGTGTATTGTTCTGTAGTTACTTGATTAACCGAAATGGATTTTTATTAAACTTTATTTCAGTAGGAAACCATCTGCAAGTGAAGTGGACGGATTCCAAACGCTGCCACACGAGGTGAGAATAAAACGGCCACTAACGACATTCGCATATCACATAAACCATGATACAAAAGCGTCAAAAAATAAGTATTTAATTTCCTATAAAAAAAAAATAATTATCATCACGCGTAAGTTCACATCACGGCTCATTATTATAAAACTTCAAAATGGTAATTTGATGCTTACTTTCGGCAATTGCTCATATTATACTTGTTTCTTATATTACCGCGCTCTTTATGGATTGTATTATATCAAATAAAAGAGTTTCAAGTTGATTATAGTAGGTAAAATTTATTTTGGTTAAACAGTGATTTGTGGAAAGCGAAATGTGTATAGTTACATATCAATATGCCAACATAGACTATTCGAGTGGTCGATGTCGTATCAAGGTTTTCTTTACATTAATTATTTATAAAAACGTAGAGATAATACATTATGTAGATATTTTAATATTAACATTCAAATATTTTGCAGCAGTTAAAGAACGAATTACCATTGCCGCCTCGAGCGAATAAACCTAAATTGGTTGATAAACCAAGACATATCAGAAAATATCCACTCAAGCTGCCAAACAATGGTCAAATTAAAGAAAATAAGACGTCTTATCCTCAACCTATAATATATCAAAATGCAGTCACATGCCCTAAAGCGAAAGATTCACACAGGGATACAAAATTCGATGCAGAGAAGAATGGTTTTGATGTGTTCGATGGTGCTGGACCGCCTAAAGTGGACACAAATCCTTTTACTAATCTCTCTTCTAGTGGTTCAGTAAATCCGTTCGACTGTTATCTGAAAAAAGATAAGTGTGATGATGGAACCGATGAGAGTGCTGTAGAAGCGGAAGAAGAAACCTTAGTACGCGGTGAGTGTCCACTATTGTAATTACATTATTTATTATATAACAGTAGCATATAACAGTAGATATTGGTACCTTATTCATTATAGTTATGTACATGAAACCTTTCTAAGGAGACCATCCAGAACTTTTTAAAATACTAAACATAAAATAAAACACCTTTAAAAATAGGTACATTCAACAAAAATATTGTAACAAGAAATAGTATTGTTTGGCAACAAAACATATTTTGCGTTTTCCCGTACACAACGTACGGGTAAAGATCTTTACTGTCCCGTTTTAAAGTCGTCTTTAATTACCTTCAAAGGCAGCCTGCCTTGCCTTTTTCAAAAAGGTTATCAAGTGGTGCAAGATTATAAGACAGCACATCAGCTTATAAAGATCTGGTATGTTTCTAATTGAATTTTAATATTCAATTCATGAGGGTAGAGTTTAAAATCGACTTCATAAATTTGACATATAAACTGATATGCTGCTGTGCAGTATGCGAAAATAACTAATGTTTTATATTAGATAGTCTTTATATTAGATTCACATAAGGTTCACATTAGCTTTTTATCTAGATTGTAGTGACCACGTATCTGTGGAGGATCTCCTGGAGTTTGCTGATCAGAAGCCGTGCGGCCGCCAGCGCGGCGTCGAGTCAGATGAAGTGCGGATAATGAGTAAAGTGCTCAAGCAGGTTAGTATAACTGAAAAATAGGCAACAACATTTTTGTTACATTTCATTACCAATTCTTTTTCAACAGGAACAATAGTTAAAGTATGATTCTAGTCTGAGGCTCATGCGGACGCTTGCTTTTGACAAGTGTTTTTTGCATGAAATTTACTATTTTTCTAAATATAGTATTTAAAACCAACAAAATTAATGATGCAGTTTTTTATTATAGCTTGTGTTATTACACATTGGTATTACCGTAAAATCTACTGTGTTGTTAGACCATTATAGCATCAAATCGAATCTAAATCATTTATTCAGTCTAACTGTTACAAAACACTTGTGAAATTGTATGCGATCAGTCCGTGAGTCTATGGCGGGAGCTCTTGTACGGAGAAGAACCGACAGGAAACTCGGCAAGGGCTGCTTTTTTGTCACTGTTTTATTTCAAACAGAGTCGTTAAGATTGAAAAACGACTTCATTAAAATATTATGTTATTCGCATAGCTCTCTTTGTGTACTGAATAGGTAAAGTTTTACGTCTGTATGTTAACTGGCACTTGCGGTCCTGTATTAGTGCATTATAATTTTAACTTTTTTACTTATTCTGTGCGTTAGTGGACAAGATAATAATTTTATTTTGTTTCAACTTATAATCAAAAAAATACGTTAGAAAATTGACAATTTTTATGCTCATTCCCGGCATGCCAAATTATCGTGAATGTCGGTTCAAATCACGCTAGGAGCACCTAAATCGTTCGTCGAATATCTGACAATATGTGGCAAAAAGCACGCTACGAACTATCGCAACGTGTGCTCTTAGTGTGCTCGCATACATTAAACTTACGTATTGTGCAAATAATCTGTACTCTCCTTAATATGTCATGTACTGATGAAATTAGGCAACTAATAATTGTTTAATTAGCAGGTAACGCCAGAGGAATGCCTAGAAGCCTTGGAGTTGAGTAACTGGAACGTTCATCAAGCTATCAAAGTGATACGTGTTAGACTATCTGTCGAACGAGACGTTGACCTTGCACTCTGCAGCCTTGAACTAGAGAAAGCCAGTGGCGATATCGTGAAGGCCGCCACCGCCTTAGTGCTTAAAATCGAATAGTAAAACACGATGTTTTTATTAATGAAGGTCAATTATATATCCTTCACTCCATTATCGATCACCTCAAGATCTATAACAACAAAAGTTGAATGTGTGTTGTATTGATATATGACGAATAAATGTTGTGTAAACTAAAATAGTGATTTTTTTTACTTGAAACTCGTTTAGGTATGTGTAAAATATAAGATTTCATTAATGTTTACGTCACTTTTAATTATGATTTTTATTTTAAGACTGAATACAATCTTTCAAAATGACCCTGATGAAAGTCCTTTCGGTTTTTTTAAAGCTTTCCCGCTATATTTGACGATGTTCGGCTATTTGTAGGGTAGCTGTTACAGAAACACTGAGTACAGTCACCTGGTAACACCAACGGCTCGGTGTCGGTTTCTGAATTGAGAATTTAAGGTTCAGCTCGTCTCAAACCGCACTTAAGCTATTTCAAACGTCACTTGAACAGGTTTTCGATTCTGGTTTTAATTTTTTTAATGCTCAGCTAATATCAGTTTGATAACACTAGGACTTTTTGCCACGTAAAACGTAAAAAACTTGAGAGTTATTGAGAATAATCAGTTGAGATTTTGTACTTTTGTTAATTCCGAAACCATCCGTAAGGTATCATATCAGTCGGATAACGCCCATTCTTGGACAAAGAGCCTTCCGAGAACTCTGGATAAATCAAACACAATAATCGTATGAACCAATTCTTCTTGATAATTTTCTGTTAAATATGATACCAATCATTTTGTTATAAATAGTTTATAAACTTAGGTTAAAAAGAATTCATTGGCTGTGGCAAATATGAGCCGATGGTTCTACCCTGTTTGCTAAGGAAGACGTGTTTATGTCCTTGTCCTTGTATGCCACAGCTGACAGGGTGCGCTTTATATCTTCCGACACCTGGCCACACGATGACCCGTTGGTAGCCAGGAGGTTTATCGTACGAACTGTTGAAACCTTTCTTATTTTGTTTGAATACTTTCGGTTTGTCTATATTCAAATGCGCAGGCCCTGGCTCATCACGATGTTTCGGACACATTGCAATATCCACTAATGCATTTCGACCTCTATAAGGATGATCTCTGTTTGTCTTATTCATCGTTCCAAAGTGACTCTTTTTGTATTTCTCCAACGACCCCATCAAGGCTATAGGCCAAGTCGCAGCGGCGCACCGTAATGATCGATTGAAATGGTTTTTTATCGAAGATCCATCTCTTTTGCCTGTAAACAAATCGTAGGGTCCTCTGAGAGACACAATTTTCTTAGATTTCTGTTCGATACTTTCCTTGTCCACAATAATGTAACGATTAGGTGCCAGGGACCAGTTCGGGCACATATTTTTAAAACGACAAGGTTCTTCTCGTTCGAATGTTTGCCTTGTTGAATGCGGACCGTAAGGTGCTTTAAAAGGAACGGCTTTATAGTATGTTCCGGGTCCAGGTATTCTATTTGTAGAAGGTTTAAATCTAGGACTCCTTCCGAAATTGACATTTTTGCAAGCTGGTTCATAAGGTTGGGGTTCACTCACTTGTGTCCAAGCGGGACCGAGTATAGACCGCTGCCATCTTCGCTGAGTAAGAATAGATTGATTCCTATATCCCAAATTTTTTGCCCATTCTTCAAGTTCTTTTTTACTTCTCCAAGGGTCTATCTTAGGTACTCTATTTTTATTGACTTCGAAAATTTTATGAAGAGGTTGGGGATGATACAAGCATGGGTCGCAGGCTGGAGGTCGATCGGTATAAAGCCCACTAGGGTCTAAGTTAGGATGAACCGTTATTTTTCCAAATCTTACTTGACTGGAACCAAAAGCTGTCTTTGTTTTAGGTTTTATAACCACCATTATTGAAAAATAAGTAAAAAATTGGAAATTGTTACAAGATATTTTCTTTGTGATTTCTTTTATTAATTGCTTATCTGCATTTCGCACAATTCAATATGATGCCAATAAAATAAATTAATTTCTACATGTAAAATGAAATGGATGGAAAAAGTCTCAAAAATGTTCTTTCTTGTTTTAAGTATTATATAAGTTATTTTATGTTGTAAGTTATTTATGAAAAGAGTAAAGTAACAAGTCAATATTAGTCATAGACAATATTAATGTCAAAACAGACGTCTATCAAAGATAATTTAAACACGAAATACGTTACTATGTAGCCGTTAGTATAACGGCGCACTCAAAAGCGAAACTTGATAATGCGAAACATCTGTACTTGTGTAATGACGTTTTCGCAATTGCCTGCGAATCAGTACTGACAAGGACGCAGCTATTCCATCAAACTAATAATAGAGAACGACAAAGGACATGCGAAATATTACCATATAACTGATAAGATTTTTGTTGTTTCACTTTTGTTGTTTCACGTCGGTATACTCGTATTAACGGCATTAAAATTTTGTTACCGTATCGTGTATCTATAGCGTACATCATACTATTATATCGTTACATAGGCGCGAGATAAAAAAATCACTGTCCATTAGAATTCATAATGAAAAATGCTTAAAGAATCCACTTTGTCCCTGCCACTCTGAGATGGGACTTGCACTTATGACCTTTCGCAATCCGTTCAACTGGTATCACCACTGAGCACCCAGAACCTAAGTCCATTACATGTCTCATATAAAGAAAATTTTTATACAAGACCTCATGAGACAAATGTACAAGAATTTTCTAACGATTTATTTTTCGGTATTCTAACATGGCGTCGCCGACATCAAGTGTTTCAGCACTCGACCTTCGTATTTAGTACTGAGTGATGTAGTTTTAGTACTTCCAGATACTGAAGTATCAATCGCTAGAAAACTCTTGCACGTTTTTGTCATGATCTCTTCCTCTGTTATAATAAGCTAGCGCTTCGTTGCTTGTTCTCGTCCTAGAATTAGGTATAAAAATAAAACCACTAATTGTATACAATGCAATTTATTTCTTTGTATGACGAATAACATCTTAACATAATATAACACCAGCCAAAACATTTCGATAAATAATATAAGTACTTATGTGATGGTAGTTTAAAATAGTCTAACTGTAAATAAAAGAAATTTATGTTTGTGCCAAGGGTTTCTGTCCAGTTTTATTATGATAAAAGTGTGAATGTGAATATGAGTATCTTTCATGGTAATTTAATTTCAGTTTCAATGACTAGTTATTTGCTGTTCTTACAGTAAGCTACAGCTTTCTGCTTTTTCTGCTTCGAACACCAAATATGAATCGTATTCATAAGAACTCAGGGTGAACTTCGGACTAGATTTCTAACGGTAGATAGGTATTTTTGGTCCATGAAAATATAAGAGCTTAGAACATAGGTAATATCTAAATCGTTGTTATTTCTTTTATTGATTTAAAATCATCTAATGATGTTCATTTAAATCTCATGGTATTTATTTACGTAGAGATTGTTATGATCCTTGATGTTATACTTGGCTGTATCAACGATTTTTTTTTTAATTCGGACGGTGTTTATATCGTTATCATTTAACGTAACAGTTTTTCGGAATTTTTTATTTCATGTAAATGATTTATCATCACAAACAAGACAATCTGTGATACCGTCTGTCTACGTGTGCGATTTAAACTTCAGTAATTTTGAAAAAGTTTTAAATTCTTTAATTTGATCTTACTAAATCTATAGTCGTTCGCATAAAATATTGAATGTTTTTAATGCAGAGGAGACTTAATATAGCAGCATGCAGGCATGCATACCTACAACCATAATCATGCTATTATTATGAATGCTATAGAGCAATAAAGTAAAAACTTCATCTAGTTGCCTAAGCATTACCTAAATTGTAAATAAATGTAGTGGACCCACGTATTTTATAATATATAATAATTATTATATTTGTGCTACTTTATGACTGTTCTTGTAAAATACGTTCAAATACATGGACACTGTCGGGATACAATAAACAAGCATTTTAGAGTGACTTCCTCCGCAGCAACCGTGCTGGAAGAACTTTTTAAATGACAATTTCAATTTTTTCATGGGTCTTTTGATCTCTCAATAAAGGTGCTCATTCACTATTACAGCACGCATGCACCGGCCATACGACACGCAAAGCATTGCACGGATTTGTCGATGTCACTGCAGACGCATTTTTCTTAGACGCTTCTTTGAAATATTTTACTCTCGGTCAAAACTAAACTTATATCAAATTATGCTGATGACGTATTTGGATTTTTTAATATAATCAGTTGCATGTCGTCAGCCGGTGCGTGCGTGCTGACATATGGACGTTCGCCTTTATCATTCTAAATATGGAGAACCCTGAATAAAACTTTCGTTTATTTTCGCGGGAAAATTCAAAACAAATCATGGCCGACCGTTTTTTTACTTTTCCTTTTTGATTAAAGAACCAGCAATTAATTAGTGTTTATAATATTCGGTCATCCTCCGCTGCAATGTCTATTAAGAATGTCGATAGTTTTTATTTATAGATTGAATGAAAGTTACTTATGTTTATCACTAGGACGGACATCACAATCGTGATCAATAATTATTTTTATAATTTTATCGTTAAAACAATAATGTCAGTTAGGTATGTTAAACTACATTCTGCGTTAATATTTTATTTTATTTGGTATGAAGTAAATAGTTGGTAGGCGCATTTTTCAATACGGATGCAAATAATACGACCTATTTATATATACTTTCAAAAGAGAGATCAAACAATTTGTAGTCAATACATAACAGTGTGAACAGTTTTAATCGCTAAAATTACTTTACCCTATAGTACTAGAATAATTTATTTTAATAATTCATGCAATTTCATTTACTTATTCTTTAGGTACTTTTGGTACACAATAATTGATTATTAGGAAGGAATAAGGGAATTAAAAATTGACATACTACATTAAAAGGATATTTTTTTGACTTATATATTGTTATCGTTAATAACTACAACATATGTAAAACAGAATTCAATGTAGTCAAAGAGATTACTATTGGCATTATTTTAAATATTATTGTAGTTCAATTGGCAAACCTGAATAATGTAGGTTACTCTAAGGTTATATAATTGCGGTTTGATTTTAGTCAAGTACAGAATGACCATAAAAATAAGTATTAGTGGTAATCATGTAAACTGATACTTAATAAAAGATGCCGAACTAAATCTCGCGTAATAAGTATTATACTGGTGCTATTGATCTTCAAATAAGAAAGTATTGAAATTTAATAAAAAATATCGACATAATCACATTTTTTTATCATACAGATTAATTAAAATTTATATTTGGGTTACATTAGGTAGGTACTTATTTAAATGAACTTCTGTAGCAAACATTTGTATACAGAGTTACTATAAAACGATGTTAACTAAATACAAAATCAAATAATACAAATTTAATAATAGAGTATAACAATAGTCTGTTCTTAGGACAGACGAAAAAACCGAAAAATGACAAGTAGGTTTTATAATGTTAGCGTTGACAGAAA